TTTGATGTATCTCTAAGTAAATCTACTTTTACTCAACTGTGGCTCGCTCTTGAATTCTTTCCTGTGCGAAGCCAAGGACCCATACTTGGCAGGGCATGTCCCAGGGGCTCAACCGAAGCCTGGGACACAGCCCTCCTCATGCCCACATCCATTTTTCCTGCATCAGTTATACATGACATGCAACTATATAAATAACTCACCTATGCAGAGTTATTTTCCTGTACTTAGTGTAATGCCAAAAGCTTGGATAGCAACAATGCCAGGAATTTTAAGGGGTTTGGGAAATGGGAAGAAGCTTCTTCATCATAATGCATTATTGGGTTGACACAGCTATAATCCCCGGCGCCTATTATGCATTGAAGAGAGAAACTTACCAAATAAATGGCTTCTGAAGACACTATCTAAAATGGAATGCCAAGAGAGTCCTAAAATAATACTTAAGACTGTAATGTCAAAAGGGAAGTGTAGTCAAAATCAAAAGCTCCCACATTTCTCAGTTTAAAGTGAAGACATGCAGCAAAGCATTATTCTGAAAAACACAACATCCAACCTAATTTTTGACAATTTTTACTGACAAGCGATCAAATGAAAGGGAAAGCACTAAAAATTCTGGTAAGACTCTATAGGGAATGAGGGACACTGAATGGATGGAGATGGATAAATAATTTTTAAAAGAGAAATATGATAAATATACAGTTCACAAGAAACATAAAGTAGGGTAATATACTTTCAGATATTTTAGATCCTCAATATTTAAAAGCTGGATGAACCATCAACTCATAAAATCTTAATTTAAACCACATTTATAAATATCTAAGGAATTGCAAAACTCAAAACAAGAAGCTATCATGTGCAAGGCTGAGATACTGGGGGTGGGGGGCAGACAACTGAAAACGGAAAAAAAGAAGCAGGAAAGAAAACTTTTCCTTAGTCTCACTTCCCCTTAAGCTACTGCTCTCTCTTTCTCCTTCCTTTCACATCCGAAATGAATTTTCTTCCTCCATCAGATCCATTTTCCCCATTACTGAATATACTTCAAGCTAGCTTTTGTCATCACCTTTGCATCCAAATCACCATAGCTGATCCATAAAGTTCAATGCAAAGGACATTTTTCAGTCTTCATCTTTCTTGATCTCCCAGAAGCATCTACTTTCTTGAAATCCTCTCTTTCCCTTGATTTCTGTGACACCACCACCTCTTCTCTTCTTCCTAATTTTCAGCCATGACTTTGCTGTCTCCATCACCAAATCACCTTTTTTTTTTAAATAAAATGCTTTGAAATTTTTCAAAACTCTCTAGGTAATTTCTTCCATTTCCTCAGCTACCATTTATATGCCAAAGAATCCCAGTTTATGTACAACCTAAGCTTCTCTGAACTCTACATCCAAGTATATTCAACTAGCTATTCAACTGCCTACTCATCTGTCCCTTGGGCACTATAACCCAACATGATGATTTTCCCACCATATCTGTTTCCTACGTGAACAGCACTATCATCTGCCTATTGCTCGGGCCAGAAACCTGAGCATCAACCTTGAAACCTCTCTACTTATCATCTACTATCGCCAGTTAATCATCGAGACTGGTTTCACCTCACACGCGCTTTCAAGTACACCCACATCTCCATCTCCATTTTTACTGCAAGCCACCCCTGTCTCCCATCCACTAGTTTCCCACACCTAGTCTTACCTTCATTCAAAAAATTAAAAATAGAATCACCATAAGATGCAGGAATTCCACTTCTGGGTATTTTCCCAAAGAAAACAAAAACACTCATTCAAAAAGATATGTGTACCCCTACACTCACTGCAACATTATTCACAATAGCTGAGAAGGGACGTATCCTAAGGGCCCATCAATAGATGAAAGCATATAGACTACGTGGTATTCACACACACACACACACACACACACACACACACACACACACACACAGGAATATTACTCTGCCATAAAAGGGATGAAATCTTGCATGTGTGACAACATGGATGGACCTAGATGGTACTATGGTAAGTGAAATAAGTCCGACAAAGAGAAGCACCATATGATTTCACTTATATGTCATATCTAAAAAACAAAGCAAATGAACAAAGATAACAAAACAGAAACAGATTTGTAGATACAGAGAATAAACTGGTGGGTGCCAGAGGTGAAGAGGGAAAGTAAATGAGTGAAATAGGTGAGGGATAATAAGAGGATCAAACCTCCAGTTATAAAATAAATGGGATGTAATGTACAACATAGGGAACTTAGTCAATAATATTGTAATAACTTTGTATGGTGATATGGTGACTAGACTTACCATGGTGATCATTTTGTAATATATCAAAATATCAAATCACTATGTTGTACACCTGAAACTAATATAATATGTAATTGAATTATATTTCAATTTTAAAAAATTCTTAAGGTTAGCAATTACAATAACCAAGTGAAAAAGAAAACCAAATTTGATCAAACTACTTCAGAACCTATTATCATGAATAACAAAAGATACACTAGAAGTACTCATGTATAAAAGATTCAAGATCTCTATAATGAACCAACAAGTTTTTCCATCATTTTCTTAGCTTTTGAAGATTACATCCTTAAGTCACAAATAAATAACGAGGAGGTTTACAAACCATTTCTCAGTATAATCCATTCAGAACGGGAAATGGCTGCCATTTTGTGCTACAGATAACAATGCAGATTAAACAGTGATCAAGTCTTTACAATTAAATCAATTTTCAACAGGTTGCATTGATAAGTAATTTAATCTAAATCTCTAGCCTCTTCCCTTGAATTCTTTCCTGTCTCAATAAAGGGAAACATCATCCATGTGTTGCTCAAAATCAAAACCTTGACTCTCCTTCACCCCTCACCCCTCTCCCCTCTGTAATTCTCCTCCACAATAAACTACCTGCAAGTATTGTTGGCTCTACTTCCAAAACATATCATGAATACGCTCCTTCTCTTTAACTCTCCTATCACTTTCTTAACCCAGGCCAGCCATCAATATCCTTGCCTAGACTTCTTCAAAAGCCTTCCAACTGATCTTAATCCAGACCATCAACACCTTTGCCTAGACTTCTTCAAAAGCCTTCCAACTGGTCTTCTTTCTACCACATCTAACTCCATAGTTCATCTAACACATTGCAGCCAGAGCTATCCATTTTGATACAAGTCTATGCATATCACTCCCCTACTAGAGGAATTGAAAATACTTAGAGCCTGCCTGCATTACCTGGTCCCTACTTGATTCTCTAATTGCATCTTAAATAACTCATCTGCTCCACCACACTATCCTCCTTCCTGTTTCCAGAACATCAAAGCTAGTTACCATTTAGGGTCTTTCTACCCGCTATTCTTTCTAGTTGGAATGCTCTGTTCCAGATCCTTCCGTGCTATTTCCTTACCATCAAGTCTCCAGTCAACTGTCAGTACCCTCCCAACCTCAGCCCCAGAGGCTTTCCCTGATCGTCTCATTTAAATTAATCTCCAGTTAGTCTCTATCACATCATCTTGTTTCATTTTCCCTTATTATTAATTGCAAACTTAAATTACCTTCTCTGCTTCTAAGTTACCCGTTTATTCTCTGTCTTCTCCCTAGAACATAAGATCCTGAGCACAGGAACCTTATCAACCTTATTCACCATTTACTACCCAGTGCCTAGAAATGTGCTTGGTACACAGTAGGTGCTCACTAAATATTTATTACAAGCATGAATATACTTAACAACTACAAAAAGAGCAGCAGCTCAAAATATAAATAACGATCATAAAATTAAGATTCAAAAAGAGGTATCATGAATTTATATCGTGATTTCATATTATACATATCAAAAATACCAGTGGAATTTATTATATATTCGAGCTCTCAAATATTAGTGAAAAATACGTTATCTTACTGAGTAAGTTTAAGTTCATTTCTAATATAAAACCTTTCAAAATGAGGAGTTTTTAATAAACCTGCATGATGAATGGGGAAGGGAAGCCATATGTCTTTCCTTTGGCAAAAATGGAATAGTCTCTTTAGGACTGCATCAGAAGCACTTAAAGAATACACTGCGACAAAAGTCAATTTAAAAAATGACTATCAATTTTCAAAGCAGAGAAAATGTATTGAGAGCTAAGGGAAACAATAGAAATTGTTTTCCCAAGGACCAATAAATCATCATGTAGCCAAACACAATCTCCGAGAACTGATAGCACATTCTTGACATTTGGAAAAGGTAAGTCTGGAGCCATCCAAATACCAAATGCCCAAATACCACCATATCAGTGTTCTTGCTTGCAAGACCCACTAGCTAGTCAACAATTAATGAGAATTATTCAAATCTGTGCCTCAAGGAAATTATAAATTACTACATTTCATGGACTTCTAGGGTCTTCATGAATAGTCAAAACCACAGTATTTGTGAATGCCAGAGGCCTTCTCCGTGTACTGAGATTGTTTCAACAAGACAATAAACTATCTTGGATATTTGTTTAGATTTTTTTAAATGACTAGGAAACTATTTATTCCATTGAAGCTATTTTCTGCATACCACAGAACGTGAATACAAACACTGAGATTACTGACAGTAGCAAACAAAAATATCAGTGGGCACCTTACCTTCCTGTTAATTAACTGTCTTTGTTATACAACACTGTCAACAAACAGACAAAAATTTTTGTTTTACAGCAAAATCTGACTACAATTCTAACTGCAAGTCACAGTAATCACGTCAATATGTGAACTATCTGGAATATCTAATTATGAAAATGGCAATTTCACAGCGGAAGTATTGTCCTAATTCAAGAAACCAGCCACATTAATTTATTAGTCTGACATATAGCAGATAGCTGGAAAACTTTAATTTGAAAGATAATTATTTTAAGCTGATTAATATGCTTCAAATTAAATTCACTGCTTTTAATGGGCCCATCAACCTGACAACCTGGGAAATTAATAAATTTTGCACGCAGTAATCCTAGGAAATTTATACAGCCAAGCTCCACATCATTACAAGGATTACCTTCACAGTAGGCATTGTCCTCTCGAAGAGCCCGAAAACCGTCTCGACAGCTACAAACGGCCCTGTCGTTCAGATTTCTGCAGACAGAATTCTCCATGCAGTTATGCTTTTCGGAACAAAAGTCATAACCTACAAGAAAAAAGAAACTTCTTATGATAAATGAAATTATGACAAAGCAAATAAACTTCGTCTCCTAATATCTTCCTTTGATTTAGAATCTGTATTTCCTTAAATGATTTGTTAAGTTGGTCTCTTCATCCAGTGTTTATAGAACCACATGCTATGTGCGCAAAAAAAAGTGTTTTTATGTGTTTAACTCAGTTAATTCCTACCTGAGGTTAATTTTATGTCTCCTTTGTTTCTGACAAATGCTATCTTTAGTCTCTAATATTCTAATTACAGTCCTCCAAATACTTGAAACAAAGAAAGATTCTTGGAGTCCAAAATGAAGATTTACAATATAGAAGATAATGCACTGAGGAAGGAAACTGATCTGAGAGTTAGTGATTGAACACTGTCAATAACAACAAGTAATACAGACCAGTGAGATGTGCACATTGTGTATCTAAGAAATGACAGACAGCCTGGCATCCCTAGAAAACAAAATTTTCAATGTGTTAAAAAAAAAGGGAAAATTACAACTTTAATTTTCTCTGGAAATCTGCAAGGCAAAGTATGTTCACTCAAAAGAAAAAAGAAAACTTTTGTGAATTACAAAGATTTCACAGATTGTAAAGTCTTCCTGAGACGAAAGAAAATGGAACATTTTACAAAGATTCACACCAATCATGTGTAATCTCTCAAGATCTCTTTTTTCCTGGGTGAATCCCTTGTTCAAAGGTCATCTAAAATACTGAAATGAAAAGCCTGAACACTGGAATCCATATTTAATGGAAGTTATGTCATTATACATCATTCAAACAATTTTCAAATTGCCTGATGCATAAATTTTCTATCTAGTTTTACACTGCCTAATGAATTACTATTTCACTATGTAAAAAAAGAAAGTCTGGGGGAATATATTTCTTATAGCTCAGAATAAATTCATCTATCTGCAGCCAAGAAAAGATTTTTACTTGAGCAAATCATGAAGATGGAAGTTCTACATTGTCTCATCTTATTTGTTATCAAATTACCGTAGAATGACTTGATTCAACAAAAGGGCCAACTAAACTGTATCACAGCCAGTAGGTATACTCTAGTACAGCACAGTGGTTGGTGTCCTTTCCAATTGGTTGGTGCCCACAATTAGTATGTTGATCATCACCCCAGAGTTAAAACATACGTCTCATGAAATACAACTACAATATATAGTCAAATATTGTTTTTATAACTTAATAAAGCCTTAGGAAGGGTGAGGCTCTCAAAATACAGTGATGGCATAAAAAAGGATAGAAAAAAATCAAAAGAATTAGTGATTTCTACAAAAATAAAATAAAATAGAAGCATATGAAGACGAGAAAAATATGTAGTTAATAACAGCATTTAAATCACTTGACAACTTAACTTTTCATGGTGAGATTCTTCAAAGTCTATATTCTCATGATTAAGGCTGAAAATGTAGAAGTAAAAAGTTCATTCTTAGGAGATGAAAAGTTAAAAATGTTTTCCCCTAGGGTCTTTTTATTTTCTTCTTCTTTAAGTAGCTTAATTGAGACCGTATTTCTTAAAATGTATTCCGGTGTCTTTTTACAATGCCTGAGGGGGAAAATTTTCAGCTAAAAAGTTGCCTTCATTCTCTATCTCAATAGCTCAGCACATCATCAACCTAAAATGAAAAGGCTCCAAAAAATCACTTTATATTTATTGTAAATTAAAACACAATTACTAAAAATATTGGCCCACGCCTTAAGATACACCAAGAATTAAGAGGCCATGTATCAACACAGCACTAAACCTGTATAATTACACCTGTAATATTTCAAGCAACTTTCAGAGGGCAGTGACTGAGAACAGGTACTGTTTCTGATGTGTTTTTTTCTTTCATACGTTTATAATTTTCAAAGCTCTCTTTCAACTTTTCACTTCACTGTATTTTCTCTTCTCCCATCACAGATCACCCAATCCATGATCACTGTCTACGCCATATGCCACCTCTATGACGATCACTTCCAGTTCTGATCAGGTAATGGTACGACCCCTTCATTTCAACATCAAGTATTATGCACACACTCAGCATGCAGTGTTTAATTGCTGTAAGAATTTTCCAACTATAAGATAATAATGTGATTCTACTTTTCATTGTTTTAGATTCAGTTGGGGAGTACTTTACTTTTCATCAGATGCAGGTTTTTAATTAATCCAGAGACTTGAACATTGAAAATTCTGCCAAAATTCTAATTTACTCTTAACAATGTCAGATACCTATTTTGATCTATTCTCTCAACAAATAAGTCGATTGAATCTATTGGTTGTTTCACTGCTTAGATACAAAAATACCAGGGTCAAAAGGCTCACTACCGATGGGTAGAAAATTCAGACTCAGTTAAAGGGACATGTTTCCAATCTACAAGGAATAACTTCAACAAAATCAGAGCGTGTGTTGGCAATCAACCACAGTCCTATTGCCTTCATAGCTGCATTTCTATTCATCTGTGCTTGGTTTCTGGAGTTGAAAGACCTAGATTTACATCTGATCTCCACCACTTACTGGCTGTGTAAATTGCTAGCTGTGTAAGCTAATTAACCTTTCTACACCTTTAGTTTTCTCACCTGTAAAATTAGGATAATATCTACCTCGCAAAAATGTAAGGTTCAAATGAGATCATCTGTGTAAAAGCATAATAGTAGAGTATTCATTAATAATTAAAGCAATTACAGTATTACTAATAAGCCATAAACCAAACATGTTGAGAAACCTGTCATAAGAGAAAATTCATATATTACAGATGCATAGATCAATGATCTAACACAATCTACCCTTTCTTTTTTGTTTCCTCCTTGGGATTTTAACCAGGAGGATACCAAGTTTTCTATTCCTTTTGTAGGCTTTTCAAATTTACATGAAGTTCTGTGTCTTTTATTAGCGTACTAGATCTTTCTGTAAAATAGCAATCTGCATTTCTGTATGACTGACTAAGCAGGGAAGGGTGGATACCAAACATTATGAGTAAGAACAATATAAATGAAGGGCATACATAACAACCAGGAGAAAGAGTACAATAATTTTGAGGTGGATATTTGTTGGTTTGTCTCCTTTTTGTGAAAACAAAACAAAATAAACAACCTAGTCATACTTTGGGTGAACCATTCACCCCTACTGTCAGCCTAGGTGCTTAAAGGAAAATGGATTCTACTGCCCACAGATTAAGGTCACACCCATTGGCCTGGACACAATCATTTCTTCAGTCCTGAGCATATGATCCAGTTTGGGCTCATGCAGATGACTGAAACTCAATATTGGGACTTTTGTTCAACTCATGACCATACTGAACTTTCTCTTCCACCTACCTGAGTATCACAATAACATGAGCGTAAGAATGTCAGGGGTCTACCTGAGAACACACGGAGCCTGAAAAGAAAGCCACCTCAGAGAAGACAAATGAAGAGATTCATCTAAGCAAAGGGGCAAGATTTCAGATCTGAATCAAGCGGCTTCCTGGCCACTTGTTCCATTTGTGACTTAAGTCAGCTGAACTGGGTGTTCTATCACTTGTGCCTAAAAGGACACTAACTCATATTGGTATTGTTTGCAAGCTGATGGATAATTCTGATTTTTCCCCAAGTGTAGTTCCCATGCATGGAGAAACATTAAAAAAAAAAAAAAACAGAAAAGCTTTTCACAGAGCTGAGATTTTAAAACTCTTAATTGAATGAATGGAAAAAGGAGCTAAAAAGAAAATGAAAAAGCTGCACCACCTTCCTCAAAACTGGGGGGGGGGGGGTCTTATGTCCCTCTGTTAATAGATTAGGTTAAAAGAAGACAAAATAAAATAAGTATGTGTTTTTAAAATTACTTTTTCTTACTTTTTTCTATTTAAGCTTGATTTTGCACCAATAAAGACACTAGTAACAAGGGCTAGCAGCTCATTTAGGGTAATTTGTTATATAGTAACAATGACATGAGCTATGAGCCCCAACTATACCCCAGGTGTCATACTAGGTATTAAGAATACAGAGATGAATGTAAACACCCACCCCTGTCCTCAAGGTGCATGGTCCAAGGAAGGGGGTAGGTTCACAAATATATAATTTCATGATAATTCAGGAAGGCACATATAATTTCACGGTTGGCGGGATCATAAAAGGTTCCATAAAATCAATCCTTCAGTTTAATACTTGAATCTATAACAAACTACCAAGTTCAAGAACCTTTAATGATGCGCAACTCACTGCCTCCTGGACAGACCACTACATTTCTGAATACTTGAAATTTTACTGTTTTCTTATATTGAACTAAAAATCTAAGTCCCCTCTACTTATTGGTTGTAGGCCTGTCATCACAGACACAACACAGAACAAGCGAGGCATATCTGATGGCCTCTCTCTTCTCAGTAGTACAGAGGTCTATGAGTGAAGGAGACCGGAATTGAGAAGAGAGGGATGTGAAGTAGTCAGATGGGAATTATGCTAAGTCAATTATAAAAGCAAGCTGAAATGCCCATCGACAGATGATTGAATAAAATTGTGGTGTAGATATACGATGGAATACTACTCAGCCGTAAAAAAGAATGAATCAATGCCATTTGTAGCAAAATGGATGGAACTGGAGATCGTCATACTAAGTGAAGTAAGACAAAAAGAGAAAGACAAATACCATATGATATCACTTACATGTGGAATCTAAAAAGAAAAAAGAAAAAAGACACAAATGAACTTATTTACAAAACAGAGACAGACTCACAGACATAGAAAACAAACCTATGGTTACCAAGGGGGAAAGGGGCAGAGTGGAAAGATAAATTGGGAGTTTGGGATTTGCAGATACTAACTACTATATATAAAATAGATAAACAATAAGGTCCCACTGTATAGCACAGGGAACTATATTCAAAACCTTGTAATAGTCTATAATGAAAAAGAATCTGAAAAGGAATATATACA